AAATTGTACAGCCGAACTTAACTCTATGACTACTTTAGAACGAATAGTAAGGCTCTTACCTCGTCGAATGCAAGCCCAGTGGGCAGAGCTAGTATTCAAGTGGGACGAAGAGGAGAGAGAGCCCAATTTTAACGAATTGACGGAATTTATTATGTCTCGTGCTAAGATAGCTAGTAGTAGGTTTGGAAGATTAGCTTATCAGGCTAAAACAGGAAATAATATGGAAGCTACTAGTGGTCTGCGTGCGAGACATTCGGATTTTTCGTTTCTACCTAAAGCACGCTCGGAAGATAAGAGATTTGTCAATTATATCACGAAAGCATACGCTGTTGAAGGACGAGTACATGACCGTAACGATGTAAATTCTCTTGATGCGTGTCCTAGCAAGAAGCCGGGTTGTGTAACAGATAAGATGGCTTTTCTAAGTGTAGAAAAGAAAGAAAAAGGCGAAAAGTGTAGGCATCAAGATGGATCCGAAGTGTGTGACGATAAAAGCCTCTTAGCTGCTCGAAAAGCCTGGAATGGTTATTTGGATTCGAGTAATCAGAGGTTAGTGAGTTCAGCAAATATGAATAAAGCCCAGGCGGGATTGACTGAACGGAATAAAGCTTATTTTCGGAACCCTTCACTTAGGGTAAATTATATAGCTGGACCTAGAGTAGATTCTAGGATAAGTGATGATGGTACAGTAACGGCTAAGAAGCCTAGGAGACATGATGCTACTATTACTAAGAAGCCTGAACCTCATGCTCTTTCGGATGCTACGATTAGCCATGGAAATAGTAGCCATCAGAACCTTAGTAGTGACAGTGATAATAAGAAGATAGAAAGTGTCAGAAGTCCACTTATAGGGACTAGTTTATCAACTTCATCGAATGAGCCTCCTAGTGTTTCGACGCCATTGGACCTCGTCACGAAGGTTAAGTTGATTGAAGATGCACAAGGTTGTGCAACTGTAACTGTTCCTATTACGGTTGACTGTCAGTCGAGTGATGATAAGAAGAAAGTGCTTGATGGTAACAGCCAGTCTACAGTGCTGTGTGATGACGATGCTATTGTTGAGCATATGTCTTGTGCCGCGGAAACGGATGCTAATGCAGAACGGAATCAATTAGACGTTGATAATAAACCGGATGTCACTGATGTGACAAATGAGTTACCGACGATGATGAACACTGTTCAAGCCTCCTCTGCAGCAGGAGATGGAAGGATAAATATTGATCCTACGTCATGCTACTTAAGGTCTTCTGGAGACGATGAAATGTCAAAATTGGAAATCTCACCCTTGCATATTATTTATGGGTCAAAAACTTCTGTTGATAAGTTAGTATCACGGACTTTATGGTATCTGCTGATCAGAGCAAGTGGTGGTGGATTGGCGATTCGTCCCCATGATAGAGAATGTAGTCCTTGGATAGGATATGACCAGTTTTGCGACGCGTTGTTCATGTTCGTATGGGTTAATTGGGTAAGGTTTATACTACCGTTAGGTCATTCCACGATAGATAGGGGAATCAAGGGCCTGATGGGAAAGTATAGGAACCTAGTTAACACGGTAGGTCATATCCATGTTGGATGGCGGGTAGGCGTACTGCTGTAAGTCCTACACGTTATTCCGTAGTGGATTAGGGGATAACATGGGAACCCTAAATAAGGTGTCATTAACGCTTGCCTTTTTTGCATGGAGGGATTTTGCGGGCCGGTGTAGAATTCTTTTTGAATGTTTTGTTTTTGGGAAAATCCCTCCATGTTTACATATTTTTGCCATGACCTGATGGACTTTTTCTCTTGACATTTTTGGTATTTTATTTGATTCCAATTTGAGATTTTACCATTGTATGTTGTTATTCTTTCCATATTTTGTACTTATATTGAAGTTTTTGTGTTTGCTTCTGAATTGTACATATATTGTTTAAATTTGATATAATATGGCTACCGCCACATTTTTGGATAGACGTGGTGGCTGCTGGACTTAGTGTCACTTACTAGCTATTGTAATAGATACTCTACGGAGTAATTTAGTCCTGGAAGAAACATAAACATCGTAAGCCTCTGTATTTCCATTTTTTATAACAATAGAGACGGTTTTCTCCTAGAATTTTCGGCTTTCTGATTTGGCTGGGACGTGGATCTAGGAGAATCGTACCGGTGTGTTTCTATTGGACGCGATTAGGACAGCCGCCGGCGAAATAAATTCTACAAATATACTGTAGTAATTCGAAATAATAAAATGACAAAAGTGTAGTCATTTGTAAAATGTTATCAATGTGCCATATCTTCTAAGAGTCCATGTATTATCTAATAATTAGTGATATTTATTGAAACTGATGCAATTTGGAATTGTATCCTGAGTAATCACCGAAGCATCAAACTAAGTCTCAAATTAAAATTATTAAGAGTTTGTATTGTTGAGACAGTTCTTAAGGAGCATGCACGCCAGAAGATTTCATGAACTTAGGGATAAAACTACTAATGACTGAAACAGATATGTTTGTTGACATCGCTGATAAACAGATGGGTAAAATATATTGACATCTACATTTGATAATACAGTTTAATGTCACTGATAACTTCATCAAACTAACTCACTTAATGATCTACGTGTGGTGGATGGCACGCATTGATAGGAAAACACGAGCTTAAAAAATTTCTGTCCTCCCTGACTCTGTAGTTTCCAATGACTTCTCAAATTAAGAAGGCTGGAGCTTATTGAAAAAGGCGAATAAGCGATCACTTGAGATTCGTTTTAGTTTAGATTATTTGAGTGTTACTGCTAAACCTCACCGTGTTTTACAATTTTTTCACCTTCTAATGAAATATCTCACCATATCCTGGTAAGTGCACTGTCACATACGAACGACAAAAGTGCACCGATGTACTAAGCAAAAAATAAAGGAGAAATAAGTTTCCAGTCTCAATTCAGACAGCAAAGCTTGAATGCCATTATGACTACATACAGCTAAATAGGCTGAAAAATACATTCCTCTAGGTCCTGCCATGTCAGACAGGTTGGTTACAGAACACTAAAAATGAAAACAAATTCAGGTATGACACCGACATCGTACTGCTGACTGTAGAGGAGTCTGATAACATTGAAATGTTTTCCTAGGACAACCAGCACCTGAGGCGATGCTGCCCCCTCACAAGGGAAGGAATGGGTTAGAAAAAGATCGACACAACTCAGCTGACCCCACAGATTTCCATCCCCATGGGTTAGGCTTTTAAATAAGTGGATCAAACACCTGAAATATTCCCATATAAAAGGCCGTGTTTGGCAGGTCCCACTGCCTCTGTGTTCACGCTCCTAGGTCACTAAGATCGATGCCAACGAATTTCTCTTTTCAGGTCCCTCAAGAAACACCATTCCATGGTGTGTTCAACCAGAGAGTGACAACTGTCCTCATAACTCTAACAGCACACAAAATCAACTTTTCCTATAATCAATACCCTCCTACATTAATCGTTCTCACTATTTGATTAGAGGTTACAGATGATTGAAAGAAACTAAACATTTTCATATGTTAGTCATCCCGCAACCGATCAGGTTCACTGTTCATCATATCAGCACCTCCTCCATGAAATGGTACAAAGTCCTTTTTTGATAACATTAACGAATTTTTCATCACATTAGTTTGTTTAGAACATGCTCCTTTTTTTGTGAAAATCATTCCTTTTTTCCTCTGTTTCCTTTACAGACTAAAGCTCAAATGTTGATTTCGTATTCCATATATGTTTTTGTTCTTATCTGATTTTTATAATTCTAATTCCTTCTTTCCTCCTTCTTAAGTTATAGTTATCTCTGGACTTATTGACTTTCTACTCGAAATAGCACGGAATATCATTCAAATAATAAACCTATCTAAGGTAGACTATCGTTGAAAACTTGAAAGCACTGGATGGTCGTTTCGTCCTAGACCGATTCATGATTTCAATGAAATTTAAAATTCTACACGACCCTCATAATAATAGTTATCATTTGCTCATTAGTGACATTCTTCAAGAGGAACTGCCCGAAGTTTTAGTAAAAATCTGTGACACTGAAATTCAACCGTGTCCAGTGTAAGGCTGTTACCCACAAAAGACAATAGAGGATAATCGAGTAACACCGTGGACTGGTTCGAATAAGACATTAACACTATTGGATGCCGCTAGCTCAGTGGTCTGGCAGTAAAGTATCTACACGGGAACCTGAAAACCCTCTGTTGTATACTGCGTTGTATACTGTGATCTGCATACTCCTTATGTTTAGAATTTTAATCCTCGACATAACCAAATCATGTTTGTCAATTATCCTAAGTCATCATCATTATCAACATCATTTCGACGTATACACAAAATGTTTTACAATGAATTTAATTCATTTACTCTTTTCTTTTTGTTTGTTTGAAATGAAGAATAAATGTTTGATATTTTAAGGGATTATATTCTGTTTATTTTTAAAAACAAGATGATCATTTTTAGGGAAAAAATTATTATTTCACTTTATATGTATGTACAATAATTAATTTCTTATCAAATCAATATTCAAACGTTCCTGATGATGAGTTTGATGCTTGATTATTATTCTCTTTCTACAAAAATTGACGACAGCAGTGAAGAAGAATTTTTTCTTTTTGATGACGGAGTTGTACAATAATTGTACTCATAGGTAATTTTTTTCACAAAGATTAAATCTATAGAAAAGCTTTACCGCACGGTCGATCAACACACTAAAAATGAAGTGGTATTGTTGAATAAATACCAAGATTATCAAAAGTTTTCAAGTAGTAAATATGATAGTCATAGTATTTTGTAAATGTGAGGGCATTATTTCAATTATCATCCATGACTAACATTATGCCAATAGTTTTTGAAGCAAGAAGAGGTTTTAAAAAAATTATCTATAGATTTTCCATCAAAACAACTTTATAAAATCAGATCATTGAGAAGACGAGAAATTGTTTCTTCACTGTGACATCGTCTTTCGCGTTTTAAATTTTATCTGTATTTCATGTCAACATTTAAATGATAATTGATCCACTGGATTTATTCATATTTATACAATTTGTATTGAATGTACGCAATCCTGATCTTATGTTGTTACTATTGGTTAGATTGTTATTATTATTACTATTATTCTCATTACAAACTAATATTCTTCTTCCATTTACATTTGACAATTGGGATGATAAACATTTTCTTGTCTGTAATAATGATTCACATCCTGGTGGTAGTTGGGAATAATTTGAATTGTTTCTATTTGTTTGATTCAATGAAGTTACATGAATCGGGTGAATTAGGTTGGAATGACTTGTGATTACATTATTACTAGTAGTATTGTTACTGTTTGTTAAATATTGAAATAAATTAGCTGCTGATGGTTCTTCATTGTTTGGTATCATTGCTGTTGTATGCTTCATAAGTAGAGCACGACGTTTTCTTTGTGAATAACACCATATCAAGAAGATACAAATCAATGTAATCATTAAAATTGTAGCACATACAATAGGCACTAATAAACGTGAACCTGAAATGTAACATTGTAAATGAAAGAATCTGTCAATAGTATTTATAATTATTACATGAGATTTATTCGATCCACTTACTACATTTGAGCACATTTTAGTAGAGTCGTGGATATGTACTGTTGATGTGCCCCGTACTGGAGTAAAGTATGACAAAGACACTGTTTACAAACGAACTATGTACACTATATCTTCAATCTTACATTTTCAAAATAATTAGATTATTAACTGTCTGTTGGTCTTCAAACTACAATGATTACGTCATGCAATGCTATCTTCCTACATCCTTCTCGTCGGTAGCTACTTCTAGGCAATACTACGCTACATATTACTTAAATGCCACTTCGTGAGAAGCAACCACCACAAAAAGATGAAACAGCTGTCTAGTACTTCCGAATGCACAATAATGCTCTAACAGTGATCAATTCATGATTTCAATTAAAAAATATCAAGTTTAAAATCTCTTTTCCATTACAGTAATATTTTAATATAATTTATTTATATCGAAAATTTTATTGATTGAAAAATACATTTGTTTTATGGATGAATGTAGTAATAAATATTTTAAATGCTTAATTATGTTGTCAAAACAAATTTTTTGTATTTAACTTAATTACTGACATATGCCTATTACCAGTAATGGAGCATAAGCCACCGACCAGCATTCTCTAACTTACATTGTCCGCCATTCTCCTTTCAAGTTCCGTTCAATCGCATTCTTCTCATGTCTGTCTCTAATTCTCGGTGTTATATGTTCATTGGTCTTCCTCTTTTCCTTTGGCCTTGAGAATTCCGGGTAATAGTTAGTTATGTAATGCAGTTGGGTGATTTCCTCAATGTGTGTCCTATCCACCTCCATCGTCTTTTTCTGATTTCCACTTTAGCTGGAATCTAGTTTGTTCTATCCCACAGTAGGTTATTTCTGATGTTTTCTGGCCGAAAGATTCACAGTATCTTTTGTAGACAACTGTTAATAAATACCTGTATCTCATGGATGGTGACTTTCTTGGTTCTTCAAGTTTCGGCTCCAAACAGTAGAATTGCCTTGACGTTTTTATTGAAAATTCTCACATTGATGTAAGTTGGCAGTTGTTTTGAGTTCTAGATGTTCTTCAGTTGTAACAATACTGCCGTTGCTCTGTTAATCCAATTCTTTACACGAACATCAAATTCACCTTGTTAACCAATAATTCTGCCTTTCTATTACATATCAACTATTTAAATAAGGTTATATTGAAATATATGACTTAGTATCATGTTGATATTATGCCATGAATCACTGCTGTTTGTTGCTGTGTTTTCTTTATTTTGAAGAGAAGACAAAACTCGGTAGACCTACATCGTGTACTCCTTGCCCACTTAACTAGTTTATTCAATGTAACTCTAAGGTCAGTTCATCTCGTACCTTAAACTTAATCCGACAGTCATGATGTGTTGTATGCTACTTACAAACTGGCTTATAAGTGGTATGCAAGAGGACGTCATCAAGAAGTAGTTATTACCGGAGAGAAAACTGTCGGACCGGAATGCATAGCGCGATCAAAATGTTCTGAAAATCAGAAGACAGCCAATAATGGTCACATATTATGCAAATCGAAGTATGAAGACTAGGTGTATGTATTTTGTTAGTAAAATTATGCCTTCTTTAAATACATCACTTATTCAATTTTATCTCGAAGTTTTCGTTCATTATAACACTCTGTTGTGTATTTTTTGATCGATCTGAAACTATTTATCCATAGGTATCTTAAAATTTCACGTTTCATAGATATAAGTGAATAAAACCAAAGATATGAAAATATTATCCAAAAAAATATTTTTTTTCAGAGTTATGGAGATTAGTTCGCCCGCAAGACCAAAGGTCCTGAGTTCGGATCCTGCTAGGTGCAGGAGTCGTGGATGCGCACTACTAATAAGTTCCATACCAGGACGAAACGGCCGTCTAGAGCTTCCACGTTTCTAATGGTGTTCTAATAATGATTGATTGATGATTTCGATGTGTAAAATATATTTTACAATTAATGTTCATTTATTTTCATTCAGAATCCTGACATCGATCATTGTTAGACCATCATTAGAAACTTGGAATCAGTGGATGGACATTTCATCTTAGTATGATACTCATCAGTGACAGTGAGCATCCATGAATTCCCACTCTTAGGAATCAATCTCAAGATCTTCACTTTCGCGCACGATCCATAATTTCAATGAAACTCAATAATTTCCAAAACTTGATAATGAAAATTTACTAAAAAAGATTTTGTTTTCTGATACTACTACCACCACTACTACTTACCAAAATCATTTTCAGTAACAATCATTGTATCAACTTGAATTTCAATAATACCAAGTAAAATTCTATGCCAATAATCATTCAACTGTTCAGTGCCTAACATCATAGACATTGGTGGTAGTGGGGCATCGTCGTTATCATCATTTGCATTATTCACTGCAGTAATTTGATTTGTATGATGTAATTTTAAATTAGTTGATGCAATTAATAAAGCTTCTTTTGATAAATTTCTAGCTAATTCATGTATAAATGCATATTGTTTACCATCTGAACCAATTTGTATTTGATTATTCAATGAACTAAGTGTTACCTTTAGATTTTTTTGGTTTAAAATAAATAAAAGAGAAGATAAGAGAAGAGAAAATTAGATATGAAAATTATTGGAATAGATTTAAGAGAATCATAAAATTGAATTGATTGGTGATGAATTTTCTAGTGAGTTACCATCACCAATTCCCTTGAATAATGTGGTTACACTAGTCTTATGATGGTTATATCGGCATTAGATCCACTTTGTTTATCATTGATTTTGCCCAAGTATATAAGGGTTTGCACATTTTTTGAAGATTCTTTGTCAAGTCTGATTTCGTTGGTGCATGTTGTGTTGTATCAATGGATCTTGCTGTTTAGAACACGGCATGCACCAACTAGATCACATTTTACATACCTTACATACTTTTGCAGCATAATTGATAAAAAGGTGGGTCTAATAAGAATGTGAAGACATGGATTAGCAAAGCAAGGACAGTTTTCTTATCTTCAAACTACGAATAAACAGTAAGGGCAGCGTTCCTAAATTTGAAGAATATCTCAAACTCAAGCAAACTGTCAACTAACACCAAAGTCATAATTTTCAAAACAAAGGTCAAGACAGTTCTACTGTATGGGGTGGAAACTTGGAGAACTAGGAAAGCCATCATCCAGAAGATACAAGTGTTTATTAACAGTTGTCTACACAAGATACTTCGGATCTGCTTTTCAGACACCATCAGCAACAATCTATTGTGGGAGAGAACAAACTAGATTCTAGTGGAGGAGGAAATCAGGAAGAAGCGCTGGAGGTTTATAGGACACACATTACAGAAAGCGCCCAAATGTGTCACAAAACAAGTCCTCACTTGGAACCCTCAAGAACAAAGGAAAAGAGGAAGGCCAAGGAACACATTACGCCGAGAAACGGAGACAGACATGGGAAGAATGAACAAAAATTGGACAGAAGTGGAAAGGGAAGTCAACGACAGAGTAGGTCGGAGAATACTGATCGGTGGCCTATGCTTCATTGGGGGTAACAGGAGCAAGCAAGCAAGGCGTGTACAATATATTTTCTCTCAGAAATGTGTAGTTTATATATGTTATTGGTATTCACTGATTTGGTTTAAATGTTAAACATACATTGAATGATGCATCCTTCTAATAGTTTGTTTTACCAAACATGCAATATGATATAAATGTAAGCAAAAGTGAATAAAAGTGATCAGTGACCATCAATGTAATTGAACTAATTGAAAAGCACTGAGTATCTAAAACTTTGTTTCACATCTATTCCGATTCAATAATCTAAGGTTCACATATTTTTCTGCGAAGTTTATTGAAGAGTTTTAAATGACACAATTAACAGTACTTTTTTATTTCTTATAGTTTTTCTAATTGAAATTCAAATACTTAAGTAGCTGGAGGTAGGTGTCAAATAACTAACAACATAAAAATTTTTCGTAATAAATACAAGTCATCAACAAACCTTAAACTTGTATTTCTACGGCAATTATATTCTCCGTGGAATTTAAAATTTATGCCGACCAGCTTACTAACTAACCACTTAACATTAAAAACATAGAGATAATGATACTGAGTAATTTAAACTAATGACCACATTGTCAACTAATCAAATGTTTTTTTACCATAATGATTTAGAGATGAGCTTCTCAATAACTCAAACATCTTTGATGAGATCCATGTAGGATTAGAGATGTTTTTATGTTTTAGCTACATGGATATCACTTGCTCAGAGTGATAAAACGCAATTCTCTACCTTGAGTATACTTATTGAATCTACAAATGGATATTCTATTCTGTGACTAACAACAGTCTCCATAAATTTACAATGAAAAATCATAAAATGTGTTCACTAGTGACTAGCTTCATAAGGAAATTCTCAGAGTTCTAGTGAGAAGCCGTGAACAGTGAAGTTCAACTCTGTCTGTGCAGACAGGTAACTACCGAAGGAAATGGGTGAAGGTGTGGAATACCTTGGATTGAAGGTGCGCTGGACCGGAGGTCCTAGGTCCGATTGCTGCGAGTAGGAGTCCTGAATGTGAACATCTGATGAAACTCATAATATGAAGAAACAGCAAACGGAAGCTTTCAGGTTTTTAATGGTGGTCGAATATTGATCGGTTCATGATTTTAATGAAAGTAAACAGATTATGTCACCATATCATCAAAATGATTGTTAACTAGTCAGGTCAGAATTTAGCCGTGATAAAATGGATGACTGAACATATTTCTTCTAGATGTAAGGCTTCAGCTTTCTAATATAAACATTAGCAGTTTCATTTTATTGGAATTATAAATCGACCAATGTTGTTAGATCACTGGCATTTCGTCCTGGTATGCAGTTGTGGAAAGGCTCTGTCGATCAGTCCCAAACTAAGACGAAACGGAAATCCAATGCCTCCAGGTTTCCAAACGATGGCTTTAACATTGATCAATTCATGATTTTAATACAACTCAGTAATCTTCAAAACTCAAAAAAGATTATTTTATTTAATTTTATTTCACCAGCAATCCTAAATTCACATATGTTATAACCGAAAAAATGTTGAAATCTAGAATAGAGAGAATACTAAGAACACCAGGGGGTTTTTAGCATCTTGTCACTCTGGTCATTCAACAAACATCCAAATCCATTCAGTTTATCAACCCATAAGAAAACTCATGGACAAATAAATGACCAAGTATCATAGGAAAGAGAAATACCACCAAAATAAAGAGGTGAATAATAATGACAAGTGGTAGGTCAACAGTAACTAATTAAGATAAAAGTTAACAGAACAAGCTACGTGTCATATGTGTGGAGAAATTGGAATACATCACTTCTACTTGAAGTTTTTGCTGATGATATTGTTCAAAACAACACTGTAAGCTGCACGATCATACCATCTACCACAAGAGAACGAAACTCTACCGTAATAATCATCCACCTGAGTTACAAATATTCTCTACTACCTTGACCAAAAGTATTATATTTATACTTGGAAACTTGAGGGTTTTCAGCTGAATTTCATCTAGATTCACTATATACATATCGGTTAGTCATTCCGTTGCAGTTTTTCAGTTATCAATAAATCAACTTTCACCAAAAATACATCTAATTTAACAATCGCATAAAAATCATTCAAACTTACTTCAATTATATTTTGATGTTGTTCTATAGAAGAGAAATCAGCTTTTATATCACAACTTACACCGATATCAATAGTTCCACTATGATCATAACGAAGATTATATTTTTTTAATGATGGTAAACTTTTCACAGCATTACAAACATCATCCACTGTAGTTGCATAAGACATACGTAATTTGGAAAAATGTAACAATAATCTAGCACAATAATTATTTAATACAAAATTATTTGGTCGACAACCAGGTAATGCTGGTTTAAAATGAAAATTTGGTAATAATTGTTGCAGTTGTTCCGTGATTGGACGGCTAGCATTTAAACAAATTGTACGTAAATAACATGGTGGTACAAAACAATCATTAATATTATGATTATTATGATTAGCAGTTAAACCAGATGATAAAACATGACAAATTTCATCAGGTTTACAAGCAAAACGATCATTTTGTCCAGCTATTTGTAAACATGACCAATAACCACAAAAATCCTAATGAAAAATGACAGAAAGAATAGATAAATTTGAAAATAAATTGATCTCTGAAATAAAGTATAGAAAATTTTACTTAAATTTACTTTCGGGCAGAGTTTTGGAGGTTTTGTGTTTTTACACATTTGAAATCATCAATCAATCATTGTTAGACCACCTTTAGAAACCTGGAAGCACTGGACGACCGTTTCGTCCTGGTACGGGATTCATCAGCAGTGCACATCCACGACTCCTGCACCTAACAGGATTCGAACCCGGGACCTTCGGTAATGTGCACGAACATTTGGTGTTATCTGGCAGTTATCTGAATGGTTTGTACGGAAAACTAACGAGGATTTGTGTGAGCTTGGTACTTTTATCCTTAAACCTTGAAAGAATACAAAATGTGGGTCAGTTGGAAAGTAGAACTTTGTACGTACATATATCAGTTCAAGTTGCCATACCGCATTAGCACGGAGCGATGAAATTCTCGATTCATATTCTATAGTGGTAATCGAAAATACTAGGGATCGAAGACGCGATCTGAGAAATATATTCGACGGAAGTAAATTCAAAACGAGAAAAAAGATCATAAGGAATCCAGAAGGCGAAGAATGGATGCATCTACGAATTTGAGCCATGTCATTCAAGGTTTCTCAACACCAGTTACTTTTGTCTCTCGGACCCCAACCAGGTAGTCTACATCTATGAACATGACTCAGTCCACTTGCTGGTGACTTCATTTATTTCTGTGATGTTTTAGTTTGGCCTACCCTAGCTTTCTTCCAATCCATTCCTATATCATAAAGCATCGCTCGTCGGGGTAGCCGGTGGCTGAAAATACGAAACACATGTCCAAACTACCCCAACTGATGAAGATTTACTACCTCATCAGCAGCTCTGCCATCCCTACTTAGTATACCTTACCTAACTCCGAAATTGCTTACTCGTTGGCCCAACGATAGACGAGCAATGCTTCCAAGATAGAGATGATCAACTGCTAGTACCGTACGAATATATTTCATTCTTAGTGGCCACGTTCTACACCCGTAAAGCAGAACGGAGCGAACCTCTGCCCAGTAAACTGGTCCTTTGCTCAGCAGACGAATATCATGCCTATATCACAAGTGACATAAGTTGACAGAGGCCGATCAAGTATGGCCTGTACACATTGTACGGATTATTTTCACATTCTACAAATTTCCATCCTTTTTCAAGAACTCTCTATGAAGAATTTTCGAGCTTTACTCATCTTTCGTAGACTTCTTCAAATAAACTCTGAGTTTTCAATCTAAATGATGTTCTTCTATTGTGAATACGTCAATCAATTATTTGATTATTGATCACTCCCTGAATCGTTCACTGATAACACCAGCGAATATGTTCATAATTAATATAGATTCGTATCGACTGAAAGATTACTGGCAGTAAAATTGTTTAATTCAGTCATAATAAAAATCCACTTGAATATAATTATTTCCCTCATCAATTCGTTTGCTTATCTGTTTTGTTCGTTTTTTTTTCAAAATGTTTAAAATAGAATAAATTTACCACCTTTACTTTGATTTTCATTCATTCCTTTCTAATAACATCTAACTCAATTCAGTAAATAACAAATTGTGAGGATATTATCATTATTATTACTATTATTATTATTAATATTATTATTATTATTATTAGTAGTAGTAGTAGTCACAGTGGTAAAGTGAAACCCGAAACCATGGACGGCCTTGAGCTAACGTGACTTTCAGAATGTTCACTTAACCATTAGGATTAAAAGGTGGTTATAAATTAGTATAAGGAATTAAGAATAGAATTTATAATTGAATGTTAAGGTTATGAATTAGAGTTGAAGGTTCTCCTCATGACTTGCCAGCTCAAATGTGATTGGCTCATCTACAGATTAGAGTCTCACCAGTTAGTTGTATATTAACATTAGTATATACTTACATCAGTACATATAATTTGTCCTTTACTACAATGACATCGTTGACAACTATAAGTCCAATTATCATTATGATTATAAATTCGACCATAAAAATTACATGCTGGTGGTTTAGGTTCTATTTCAATGATTACTTCATCACAATGTCGACCATTTCGTTGTTCTGGACAAATACATTCATACGTTCCAACACGATCAATACAAGTTGATCCAAATGAACATGGATATGAAGCACATTCATTGACATCTATAAATAAATGTAAAAAAAAGAGGATTTCTCCTTAGACAAAAAAAGGGAGAAACAAGGTATTTCATTTTCTGAAGCTCTGTCAAGTTTAACGTTGCTTATTAACATTCGTCTACGCAAGATACTTCGGATCTGCTGACCAGATATTATCACCAAGAGCCTAATGTGGGAGAGAACAAACCAGATTCTGTCTGAGGAATAAGTTAGGAAGAAGCGATGAAGGTGAATTTAACATACATTGAGGATAGCACCCGAGTGCATCACGAGGCATGCTGTAACTTGGAATCCTCAAGGTCAAAGGAAAAGAGATAGACCAGAGGAGACATTATGCCGAGAATCGGAAACGGATATGAAAAGAATGAACAGAAATCGGGTGGAACTGAAAGGGGAGGCCCAGGAACGAGTTGGTTGGAGAGTGTTGGTCAGCATCCTTTACTCCATGACGAGTAATAGGGGTAAGTAAGTCAGTAAGTAATCAACTTCACTGTGAATATTAACACTTGTCAAATACCTGAGAGAATTTTATGAATTAAACTAGAATGCTTATCAGTAAAACGTAACTTAAATTCTGAAGGAACTGACACTGTTTCATGACTATCGACTGGTCAGTGGGCTTACAAACCGCACCTTGTAAAAATAATCCTTCATAAAAGAACACTAACTAGAAAATCTATTACTATGGAAAATATTAAAACGGAGTATCTAAACTTTCAAAAAACAAAATATTCACTCAAAAGAAAGTAGATAGTATTTTCGAAAACCAACAGGATCTTAATATAGAGAGCCAGTCATAAACGATCATTCGATGAATGTTAGAAATGGCTTAAAGGATGGATGCATATCATTGGTCGAGAAATGGATACATTTTCTAAGGAGTAGAAATGCATGTATATATAAATGAGTATTTATGTCAATGATTCAGTAGCCAAACAGACTTTCTGTTCTGCTTTTACCTTTTCACCAAAGGATCCATTTTTAGGGGTCTAGCATGTATCACGTTCAAATATCAGACATCGTGTAGTGTATACTAATATGTCGAACCTACATGACTTGTCCCAGTCTTTGGACAAATTTCATTAAAACATTCTTCTTGAGTTATTCAAATGTCTTTCAAATAGATCAATTATTTGCTCATATCTTGGTTGTTTTTATTTGTTTTTATGTGAGTGTGCATTGTTTACTTTGCTTGTCACATGTCCAGCTTATTTTTGTCCTACTATAAATACTTAGTCATGCCTCATCACATTGAGTTCGCCCACTCGCCTTCTCCGCCTTACTTTGCTTCTCGTCGCATAAGCGAATATGTGGAATAAACCCATCCAAAATAAACCGTTTTGTGCTTTTTACTACCACCGTCGCACAAACGAAATTAGCCGAAGTGTAATACTCGAAAAATCCACGGGAAAGATTTGATTGTTTCTACAAATTAGACTCGAATTCGAATAGAAACCACTCATTTCAACAAATCCTATCATACAATAACAAATAATTGTTTAAATCATTGATATAATCTTAACCTATCAACCTCATTACATAATCAGTATAATGTAAAAACACAGAGAAAATTTTATTTTAATCACTTACTTATTCTACAATCAGTTCCGATAAAACCTTTAGGACAATCACATTCGAAAGAATTAACAAGATCTTTACATGTTCCATTGTTGTAACTGTAAAAATGCAAAGAAAATTACATAAGTTATGTCAATCATAATGTGGAGATTATTTTTAAAGTAAATAATTGAAGATTATTAAGTTTACTTTAGTACAGAATTTAGTAATCGGTAATCACTGCTCTGTAATAGATCAAACACTTAATTACTTACACCCCTTTACCCATAATCGAGAATAGGCCAACGACTAGCATTCTCTAATCGACTTTCTCCTGAGCCTTCCTTTCTAGTTTGTGGGTGAACACTCTCACTGAGGAGTGAAGTTAATAGATAACTCATCTGGCCTACCTTAATTAAAAACAAATAACTAATTTTATAGAAATCATTAATTCTATTTATTAAAAAATTTGGCAAATATTTTATTCAAAATAATAAGTTCCTAAACACCTACGTAAACTTAATTGACAAATCTTCCGCTATATCAGGAAGAAGATTAGAGAAATAGTAACTTCCAGAAGTGATCTATGGATTATGTTTATTGTGTATATATTTATTGTTTAAAATTGTTCAGTAATTAGGTTATGATATATATATATATATATATATATATATATATATAAACATTCCTTTTATTATGATCTTCTAATTAACTCACTAACTACTAATGTATGATTTATTATTCCTACTCACTTGCTGGTTTATCATTCACCGACTCCCTTCTAAATGAAGCCACTTTTGGCTTGCTCATGTTTAAGCATATTTTCTGATTTTATGGTGTGATTTGGTCTGATTGTTTCGTATATTAACTATGTCCGATTGCAATATAACAGAATTCTTTTACTAAGTGGAGTAGTAGAGAATGAAAAAAGTTATCGAGTTGTGTTCCAATTAAAGATTTAAAGTAGACTGAGGGTTACCGGTGCTAAGACGCGATTCTATTTGGTACTTTTTGTATTTACCACATGAAATTACTCAGTGATCAAGGATACAACAGTCTACTGATGATAGCTGTCACAACCAGTTGGTATTTACCTACTTCTCACGAATTGATTGCATTTTCTCACTAATTCACTATTACCTCATGTCAACCAAACAGAAAACTTTTTTTCCAAAAAGTAAAAAATCTCGTGATTGTTTTCACAGACTTGACGTTTTAAATTTTATAGTTGTAGAGAAAAATTAAACAAAAAACGTTTATATGCCAATTTCAATTAAAAATCTCAACACTTTGATGAATTATTCTTGTTACATGGGTGTGGTGAGTTATGTAACTATTAATCTATAGATTTTAAGTGAGTATAACAGTCGGATTAGCATACTTAGAGGTAATGATTCGTGAATTTTATACCGATCGAAATTAGACTTAAATAATTTCTGTTTACTTTCCCACCCCCCCCTCACCGACATATAAGATGATAACCAATAGAAAAAAAAACACCAAACGACAACGTTAAAAGAAAAATATCCAACTTCTGGAAGTTTTATTGAGTGGATTTTTATTTTTGTTTAAACATTTAATTATTGGTAATGGAGGACAACTAAAACACTTGTACGACAATTTATTGAATTTTGATGAATTAGGTGTGATATTTCCCGGGTGTAGGTAGTTTTCTTAGGAGGTCAGTCCACGAGCCCTGAACACAGAGATTCAATCGACAAGGTAGTGCAGCAATGTAAGGAAATGTAGTCATATGGTAGCCAGTGACCAACAGTAGGTGCATTTAAGATCCTAGAACACATATGCGTGATTGATTAGGAGTCAGAGTTGTCCAACTCCCTTAAGTTGATCCTACGTACACACCAACCGAGTTGAAGCTCCGACAAAACACTCACTTTTCATCCTCTCAACTTCATAAGCCACACCTCTGCTATGAGAAGGCAGTAAGTGGAACTTCTCATTCTCCGCAACACCAGGACACTTAACAGATGAAATATTGTGATTAAACAAGTTTAATATATTGTAAATTCAATAAACTGACATTTATTGAACAAAGTTTCACATATATTATATAAAACAATTTACCATGGCATTGAATTACATTCATTTATATCATTTTCACAATATTGACCATCGAAACCAGGACGGCAAATACAATTGAAACTATTGCCTAAATCAACACATGTTGCACCATTTTTGCATAGATTTTCTTGTATACACGCTCTGCTTTCAGGTCGACCTAAATCGATCAAATGTAAAAATTCAATTACATTGTACAATGAAGTAAGTTATTTCAAATGTTGTGTTCCTAATGAGATTTTTTTCTTTTAAAAAGTAAATTGTTTTTATTATTTCTTATATGTGACTGTGTTAATTATTAATTAAACAAGCGTATTTTTGATTAGAATTATTGTCCTATATTTGATTAAATAAATTTACATATTTATGTTAGTGCAATGAAAACTATTCGCAACATGGCTTATGAGTAGTATATAGTTGAGTCTTGTCCAAAAGTAGTAACTGCTGAAGCCAAAAAGAATTTCCGATCCAAATGTATTGCTTAATCAAAGTGTTTTTAAAACTAGGAGACGTGATAGAATACAGGTAATAAACTGCTTGATTTGCCAGTAGAAGTCTGAAGATAAGGTGTAGACATGCTGTCAGTTAACTGTTCTCTTCTACAAATGCACTTCTATTCCATCTTCTCTTGACGTATTACGTTCATCAGATCAGTCTTTTATGTTTTTGCTTTGAGTCGTTCAGAATGTTATTTGTCCCTTGTTGATAACGCGTATAACTAATAGACTGACAACGGATTTAACAAGAATATAATCAGGTGATCATTATAGTGCTGTGAAAGTTGCTGAATTTTATTGAAGTCATGAATCGATCAATGTTAGACCACCATTAGAAAACTGTAAGCACTTGATGGCAGCAGCAGTGCTGAGCTTGCAAGAATTGGATCCAAGACCTTCGATCTCGATTGACCTCTAGACCACTAAGACGTACGGCATCCGTTGATGTTAATGCCTAACTTCCATCAATGAACAATATTGCGCGACCATCAACCATTGTCTCGGATGAGTACCTGTACCATACCCGACAGAGTTGAACTCCACCGGCCAGAGATTCTTAAAAGACCTCCGAAAATTCCCTCACGAAGTTAACCATTAGTGAGCATATGATAATTATCAGTACAGTATTGTATGCCATTTTACTGACTGTTTTAAAACAGCATCTAGTGAGATATCTGACTAAATTCAACCGATTCACAACACCGCTCAATTATCTTCCATTTTCTTTGTTGCATAATTGTTATTACGGTATGCGAGTGTCCCACATCTGAACGTGATACATCTTAACTCCTGCCAACTGGCTACTTAAGCGAGAAGACATGAGTAAGAAAGTCTATTTGACTATCGAGTCATATTCATAATTGCTCATTTATGTAAATAAATTGCTTCGCCTTAGAAAACGAATACGTGTCTTAACCAGTCATATGTATTCTTTCGTTAGGACATTCTCTGTTTATCATCATATGACCGTCGTCAGGTCACCTCTGATTAACTCTCTATATTAATTTTACTTTCAACTGCTTAATAACTACTTATTTTATTCTTATGGATTGATGTTTTTAAAAATATATTACAATACATTATTAGTATAGTAACTGACTTAGCAAAATCATTGTACTGAAGACAAAAATGATAAAAATAATAGTATATTGATGGCCTTCAGTTGTCGAATCAGAATAAAGGCAACGTCGAGAAGCATGTCACGTCCCTATGATTTTGAAATGGCACAGAAAATTTGTAGTTCAAGTGAATGGTTACAGTGGGGTTTTGTTCTCTGAACTCGATTTTCAGTTGTACTTCTACTTGAGGGTCGTTCTAATGATTATTGTTCAGAAGAACGTTGAAAGCTCCACAACTAAAACATCCAGCTCAGAGAATGGAACCCTACTATAAAATTGACAGAATTCAGTTATTAAAATGATCGATAATCAAAATCAGAGAAAAAATTATATTTTGAAAGGGTGCTTAAGGCACATTATAAAACATTTTCGCTCCTAAGACACATTCCATGTTAAAGTACTTGTTGTGCGTTGATGTGTAATCAAAAGTGTTCAATATTCACCTTACTTAACCCTTACCCTAAATCTCAACTCCGAATTTCTGTAAGTTTGTAAAAAAAAGGTGTTAAAGCTTTGCACCATACCTAACGTCATTTCATTATGAAAATCCTAATTCTGATTACAAAAACCAAACTCAGAACCACAGTTCAGTTCTAAATACTGAATTCTAAACTTTTGACATTAAAACTGATATCACTTAGTAACGAAAACTCTATAAAAGGATAACTTTAACTCTTTACACTAATCCACATTCCAAGATTTAAACTCAACATTTTATTTCACTACTAGAAATATTTAGTTGCTCGAGAAGTGACTCTTATTTGGACGGATGATCCAATGTGCGTTGAAATAAATCTTTCCTCAAATTATGCTTACAAGAACGCCATTTGTAATAAGAAGCCAGTTAGGCATTCGTTTGTATAAGTTTATTGCATACAATCGTTCATGCAAACGAACATGAGAATACAAAGAGTGACAGCAAAGCGAAGCGAAGTGAAGAAGTCGAGTGAGCCAACTCAATGCAGTGAAGAGAGACCAACTTATTTATTGTCAGACAAATACTCTAGACACGTAATAAGCAAAGTGAGCAATCCACACATACTCAAATGAAAAAAGCAAGATATATTAGGCCACCATTTAAAATATACTAGCACTGGATGGCCATTTCGCCCTGGTATGGGACAGTGGATGAGGTTGCGCAAGATCGTGGGTTGACTAAAGTTAGACATTAACATCATTGTGTTTCAGCTCAGTGATCCAGAGGTCAAGCGTTCAAGTGCAAGACCGAAGGTCCTGTGTTCACTTTCCGCGAGTAGTGGGAATCGTGGATGCACACTGTCGAAGAGTCCCATACCAGAACGAAACAACCGTTCAGTACTCCTAGGTTTTCATTAGTGGTCTAACGTTGATTGATTCATGGTGTCAAAGTAACTCAACAATCTCCATAACCCTATGATGAAAAACCAAGACATAAGCGGATAATTGACAAGGTAATAGGACGTGGGAATAGTAACTCGTGCACAAATGATTATTTAATTTTTGAAAGTCATGAACTAATTACAATTCGACTTACGTAACTGACAAACAGTTCCAGTCCATTGTTGATCACATTCACATTTAAATAATCCAGGACTTAAATTATCTTGATAACATTGACCATTATTAAAACAAATTTTAGCCATTGTACATGGATTATTTGTTTGAAATTCACACCAACGACCAGACCAACCTGGTGCACAATGACATTGAAAATCACCTGGATATAATGTGGGCTGACAATAACCACCATTTTGACATGGATTTGGTTGACATAAATCAATAGCTGTAAAGAAAAGTGAATGTAAAATCAGTAGAAAAAACCAATGAAGGAACTTCATAGAAATCGGTTGACGCTATAAATTAATGTTGACATGATGATTGAACAACAGTATGAAGGTGAAGAATAGCTTGTTCTAGTTAGCATTTTTTTAGCAAGTTAATCGAGTCGCTAACGCCTAATCCTTCTCCATTGTCCTGGCTTGGAACAGGCAGTGTAACTATAGAAGGTCCCCAGACAGAGTAATAGAAGTGATACTGAATTATTATTATTGTTACTATCAGCGTTATAGCAGTTAAAATTGATTGAAATTTAAAATATGATCTAATAAAGTAATCGAAATAATAATATACCCTGTATGCTATTTTACAGTTTACGCTTTACTGATTTTGTCACTGGAGTGAATAATACCACACAACTGTTCAAATTAAATTAGGCTTCATAACATTTAGACATAAGAACTATCGACTGGAAACCAGAAGCTTGAACAATCTAAGTCAATAGGAAGAATTATTGTTTATCACTCATCAATATAAATAGATGATTATTAGTTCAAACGGGTACCTAAATATCTATGCGTTACATAAATTACTGAATTTGTGAGTGAGTGAGTGAGTGAGTGAGTGAGTGAGTGAACCAAAGTAGGTAGTTTTCTTAGGGGGTTCGCTTCTAGAGTTTTCGATCTATAGGTCCAACCCAAAAGATAGTAGAGCAAGATTAGCAGATACGGTGGCATAGTAGCGGGTCACCACCAATAGTACTTTTTCTCCATCAAGATCATTTAGCCCATGTGCATGATTGGTTTGAAATCAGGGTTTATGGATTCCCATCAATAGATCTTTCTTACCCTTATTTTCTTTTCATCCTTTCAATTGCATAAACACTACCATCAGCATGAATATGCAGTTAATGGTGGCTAAATACACAAAGGCATGTGAGAATATTTAGCGTAGTAGAACAGCATTCTCCTCCTTACTCTCCAAGCATTTGATTTAAAATCATCATTTCTATAATAAATAAAAAATCACCTACCATTTTCACATTGTACACCACTAAAACCTTCTTCACAAATACATTGATAACCTTCTAAACTATTAACACAGATTGCATTATTCATACATGGCATTGTTTCACAATAATTAATTAATTCTTGACAATATTTTCCTTGATAACCAGTACTACATAGACATTGATAATCATTTTCATGATCTACATGAATACATGTACCATGTTGACCACATACACCACTATATGGATAGATCATTTCATGTTGTCTTCTTAATAAATTATCCATGTCTGATTGATTTGAATTAAGATTTGAATGTTCAAGAATCAATGCTGAAGGTGATGATATTATTGAGGAGGAGGAGGAGGAGGAGGAAGAAGAAGAGAAATATTGTATCGAACCATTATTATCATGATGTATAGTTAAACATGGATCCATTAATAAATCACAACCATCTACTCCACAATATGGACGTTGATATTCACAAAATTGTCCATAAAATTTTTCGGGACATTTACAATAGAAACCGTTTGATAAAGTATAACAATAAGCACCATTTTGACATAGATTTGGATTACATCCATTGATTGAAATCTTTCAAAAAAAAACAAATAAAGAAATCAATGCAACAAAATGATCCACTGAAGGATGAAACTTCTTTTATTATAAAACAAAACAAATTTCACACAATGAATCTTCCAAAGTTTCAGTGAACAATGAAATGGTTACTGTTATGATTGGCGGTGTCCTGGATTTGAACGTGGTACGTACTAACCCTTCAAAACTGGCCTTCTTAGCGAAATGGCAAGAGTAGAGTGGAAAGTTGATTTGGCTACCGATTCATACGTACGGATACTAGTCTATATATACATGTAGGTCCTATCCCCTTAGAAAATGAGTCCATTTTTTCACCAGTGTTATGTATTCGTCCTTCAGGACATTTCTGATGGTCATCAAATGGACTTCTGATTGGCTCACTAAATCACCTACATGCACACACACACACACACACACTCAAATACATATTGACGATGAGAATAATCCTTTTTCACAAATCAATAATTCTTTAAGTGTTAAATATACATTACTTTACTGATGAGTCATTCAGTTTGGATTTTAGCATCGAATTCCAAACTCCATTGAAGACAGCATACCTATCCGTGAACTTGTAGCATATCTATCCTTTCAATGTTCAATTTGTGTACAATGGTTACCATTTTCCGTTTACTCAATGAATAAATATTAATACATATAAAGGCATCATTTTCACTGAAGAGCTCATTTTAAGCTTCAACAAACACCGCTTTTGCTTTTTTCATTCGTCAGTTTGTGATGAGCTAGAGTAGTAACGTGTTCATTGAAGAAATCATGTAAACAGTTTTCAATGATTAAAGTGTAGTTCTCAGTGAAATTTACACTTTTTCAATCAGCTCTGTCATACTTGATGAACTAGGAAATACTTGAGAAATGCTAGAAATATTACTCTTCTATCAAACATTGAAACAAGATGATTGTCCTTTGAACGGAAGATCGGATATGCTCTTCCCTTCAATTACCGGTTATTATATTATTCAGGTGAATCCCGTTTGTGCAACGGAGGTAATAAGAAGCCAGATAGGGTTTCAGTTGGATACGTTTATTATATGCAAGCGTTCACGCAGATAGACATGAGATAAAAAGCATAAAAGCAAACCCAATAGAAGTGGACAAGGTGTGTGAGCCAACTTTATGTCAACTTCACGTTAAAAAAAATTAAGTTAGACGTGTGATAAGCGATGCAGGCAATGCTCATGCGCGCAGAAGTAAAACAATCAGGGATATAAGTGAATAATTGATAAGGTCAAAGTACGTTTGAATAGTAACTCAGAGAGAATATCATTTCAAAATGAATTATTATCAGATTTTTTAGGTTTCTGTTTTCTATTTCTAACTCACTTCACAATTTTGTCCAGTAAATCCATTTGGACATTCACATAAATAACCGCCGGGAATGTCATGACAAATTCCTTTATTTTGACATGGTCTACTAGCACATTCACGATTAATTTCACAATATCTACCTTCAAATCCAATTGGACAAGTACAATAGAAATCATCTAAAAGATCCTGAAACAAAACAAAAAACTATCATCTATTAAAAGTAGACAAATGATTCTGATGTTTTGTGAAACAATAATTTTAATGAATATTGATTAGAGTGGTTTTTATCAATATGGTGGAGTTACGTTTAAGATACCATTCAGTACAAGAGAATATTGGATAGCTGCTTTTTTATTTCTAGTATGAGATACGAAAAAAAGTGATTACTTACAACTTTATGAGAGATCGAATCCAAGACTCATGCATCTCTGGAGGAGAGAAAACAATTTCAACTAATCATGAATCAATCATTGTTAGACCACCATTAGAAACCTGGAAGCACTTGACAGCCATTTCGTCCTGGTATGGGACTCATCAGCAGTGCGCATCCACGACTCCTGCACCTCACAGGATTCGAACCCGGGACCCTTGGTATTGTGCGCGAACGCCTAACCATAGGACCACCGAAGGTCCCGGGTTCGAATTCTGCGAGGTGTAGGAGTCGTGGATGCGCACTGCTGATGAGTCCCATACCAGGATGAAATGGCTGTCAAGTGCTTCCAGGTTTCTAATGGTTGTCTATCAATGATTGATTGATGATTTCAAATGTGTAAAATACAAACCTCCAAAACTCCGCCCGAAAATTTCAACTAACCCTGAAACTGATAAAATCTGAGGTCTGGCTTACATACCAACTTACTAACAACAAATATGTACACCATATCCTTAGACTTTCATTTGCAAAACAATCAAATTAACGACTATTTTCTTTCATATTTCTGCTAGTATTCAAAAAAAACTCTTTGACAACGCCAAAAATCCGGATTCGATACTCTTCTCTCTTAGCAGTAACCACTTTTGGATGACACTACTGAATACTACTTATAAGCTACATTGTTAGAAGCATCCACCTTACAACTACCACGATTACCACTACTACTGATAATAATAAGGATAAGAATAATAATATTTGAAAATATAAAGTAGTAAAATACTTACATGACAAGTTCCTCCATTTTTACATTTATCCACACAATCATCAATATCTTAATGAAATAGAAAACAAATAAGAATAATAACAATCATTCATATATATATAAATGCGATGGAAAAATGAAATGAATCATGCAATTTGCAATTATGTAGGTGAATAAATAAATAAATTTATTTACTGTTGACTATTAAAATCAATATCAGACTAACATTCGAAACCTGGAAGCAGTGGAGGGGCCTTTTCAACCTAATATGAGGCTCGTCACCAGTGGGCATTCGTGACCCCAGTTACTCACGGATATCGAACCCAGGACCTTTGGTCTTGCGTGTGAAAGCTTAACCTTTAGGCCAATGAGCCGGCCGACATCCAACTGTGTTATCATCTAACTACTGATAAATAGTCCCATATACTAGGACGAAACGGCTGTCCAGTGATTCCAGGTTTCTAATGGTAGTCTAACAATGATCAGTTCATCAAATTTTTCATTCAATTTGCTACTAATGCAACCGACGAGACCAGATGAAGTACGTTTGTATATTTAGAGAAGATCAACGTTTCTATACAAAATTTTCACACACAGTATCCAGTATTTTCTCTCACATCTATTCTGGTCTTCAAAAGTACGCTCTGATTGCGCTACGCATTTTGATCTTTGGACATTTTTCTTTCTGGTAACAATTTCTAAACGACGCTTTCACGCCATATTACTCAATAAAATTAAGTATCATACAGAATGTTAGATGAAAGCTTATCCATAAATAATATTTTACCTTAGTCTGATGAAATTTTCAAAATGATCGAACGATTTCCAATTTCTAATGGTTTTGTTTTAAAATAATTCCGTTTTTTCTCATAATTGATAAATTGTTGAACAGCTGATTGAAAACCAATCGATCAATCTGTAATATGAGCTACTATTTTATGTACGATGTACATTTATTTTGAGATGTTAGGTGGTTTTGAATAGACTACAAGGATTCCTAGTTATATGACTCATGATATGCGTTCGAATACATTAAACAACAACAATCCCCTCAAAAGTATGGATAATATCATGTTGTTTAGCTCCAAATAACTTAATTCTTCTTTAGTTCCCTGTCAATGATTTCCATCCACTGTTAATTATGTGCTTAGGAGAACCCTGTTTGCGAGATGGTGGTACTTAAGAAGCCAAATACATATTCAGTTGGATGAGTTTATTTCATGGAATCCTTCACAGAGACAGATGTGAGAATACAAATAGTGAAAGCAAAGCGAAGCAGAGAAGGCGAGTTAGACAACTCAGTACGACGAGGCATGATGAAATATTCATTGTCAAACAAAATTCAGCTAGACTTGTGACACGCGAAACAAGCAATACACATACGCACACGGAAAAAGCCAACTAAGGTTATGAACGAATGACTAACAAGGTCACAAGATGTGTGGACGACTTGAGAAGGGTGAATTAATCAATTTGTCCAAAGTCTCGAACCAGCCATGTGGGCTGGACATATTTGTACACACATTACAATGTAATTGTTAGTATAAAGGAGCACCGAAATATGTATTTATGAGTTGATCAAAATACTGTCCCAGTGCTCAGATCGAAACACATAGTTTTCCTAGGAACTCAGCACCTTAACCTTTGACAGTGGGGAAACCTTAAGAGATGAAGTCCCTGGGTAGTCAGTAATCAACAAAAGGTCCGCATGCCACTCACTTCATCAGGATCTTGGTCTCATATGTATCATCGACTTATCGTGAGGTTTTTCAAATTCCTCTAGATGGGTCCTCCATATCCACCAACCTGTTTCAAGCCTCCACCATACACTCTCTTTCCATCCGTCCAATTTCGTGAACACATCGACCACGAGAATGTCGTGAGTATGACATACGTACATACGTGGCCCTATTGTAATAATTTGGAGAAGTAGAGCGAACTATCTCCATTCTCAGTCGTACCAAAATAATATTAAAACAATACAACTGATATTTCAATGACACCAGTTGATACATCATATGTCAACTCTCCTTAACATACATCCAAATAAATAGCTTAAAACATGCTCAAATATAACTCCAAATAGAATTCTAAATTATCATAAAATACAAATATTTTTGTGGTTCTTTTAACTTACTTTCATCACAAAATTGTCCTGTCCAACCAGGTTGACATAAACATTCATAATTGATTTCATTCTTTGATTGGATTAATTGTTTACAGTGAATTGCATGTACACATTTTGAATTACTACATGGTGATCTTAATTGACAATGTGATCCTTTATAACCAGCTGGGCATAAACATTGAAAACCTGGACCATCTAAATCTTGACATGTTCCACCATTTAAACATGTATTCATTAAACAATAATCAATGTCTTTATCATTTTTTTAAAGAAATAAATAGAAAAAAGAAAGCGTACTACATAAAGAATGTGTATTACTGAATAGCGTAATGATGTAGAAAAAAATCATACTACTGAATTCACTTCAGTAAGCTATGAAAAATCAGGAAATTATTGAATGGCTGTGTCATCCTAGTGTCATGAACAAATGAGATATGCGATTGATTTCGTGAAGATACTGTTTATTTACTAAATTTGTACATCGAATCTTCAAACTTCCTTTTACAAAACAAGCAAATAATTTGGCTGTCTTCTGGTCTTAAAAAAGGCTTTAATTGCGTCTTACATACATATCCGATAATCTTAGCTTCAGTAGTAAATTCTTAGTGACATTCGGCCTCACACTGTTTATAAAAGACGTTGAGAATAGAACAAGCCTCACCTGTACAGTTTTAATTACTACAGAGAATGAATGCCAGTTCAAATACAAAATTCGATGACGATACAACCGGTGAAATTCAACGACTAAAAAGAAAATTTACTAACATCCAGATCTGACACTCTTCTATCTGCTTGTATCTTCTTGACAACACTCCACTAAATCTTATTTATGAGCCACATTACGAATAATATCCACCGCACTGACTGTGTAATTTGTTTAAGAAGTTTACAAATTTATGATTAAATATGACCGGACACTCAATAAATTTACAATCTTGCTAAAATACTTCGTATTTTTCTGAATATAAATCAAGTTTATGTAGAATAGATGAAATGTCAATAACAGACGAATTCAATAAACCATATGTGCTATCTTATTTACAACTTATTAGTTAGATAGATATATCTCTGTCGCATATCAAAGTTAATATTCACTCCAGGATTTAAACTTTATACTTTTCATTGCAAATATATCAACACTTAATGTATTAAATCAAATCACCCTACAGTAATTGAACTTACTCTCTTCACAATGATCACCACGCCATCCTGGTTCACATTCACATTCATAAGTGATATTATCTGTTGATATACAACGACCACGTTTACATGGATTAATAGTGCATGGTGCTAATTCTAGAAAAAAAGGAATGAAGTATTAGTAATTAGATATTTTTTTATCTTATCATTTAAATATTTATTTTCATGATAGGGTTATAGAGATTGTTGAGTATCATTGAAATCATGAATTGATCAATGTTAGACCACTATTAAAAACCCGGAAGCACTGGCTGCCAAGCTATCATGGTATGGGGCTCATTAGCATCGAGCATCCACGAATGTCGCTTACGTCAATCAAACCTGCGACTTTTGGTATCGTGAGTGAACGCTTAACCTCCGGACAGATCAGCTGACCAACACCTAACGGTGTTAATGTTTAACTTCAATTAGTCTATGATACTCCACAACCTCAGCCTTGACGAATGGAGTTCAGTCCCGTCAGGTGTCAACAGTAACCATCCAATGCTTCCAGGCTTCTAACGATGGTCTAACAATGATCGATTCAGCATTTCAATGAAACATAATAATCTCCATAACGTCTATAATGAAAAATCATAACTTGAAATCATTTTGTTATGATGATTGTTCCAGTTGTTAATAATTTTCTTTTATTAAAAATAAACAAAGATTAATGCAGACTAATATGTGAATTCATACTAATTTCACTAGATTCTCTTTTCATCAGCTGTTTACTAATCGATAATATTTTTTAAAATCAAAAAGTTATCATGGAAATGAACATGCTTGAAAACACCGAGGTGTTTTTGGTAAATGATTTGAATTGACTGATTTCAATCTATATTATTCTTTATTAGTCTGATCTCGGTTACTTCAATACACAACCATCTGAAGTTCTTACTAACTTCTTTTATTTCTAACCACAAGTTCGATGTCCTGAAACTTTCCCTCTCACATTTTAGAAATATCTGAATCGAATACTTTTACGAACTTATTAACTGTACTGGAAACTTCGCTACATCATTAAACAGTTCAGTGATCACCTCCATATTTAAAAGTATGTCGGTTTCTATAATTAATTGGATGCTAAAATCAAAACATCCGCTACAAGAGAAGGAAACCTCTTCATAATCATTCACCTCAGCTACATATTTTCCCCACCAACTCAAGATGATATCTTGAAATGTTTCGGAACATTTAAGAATGTCATCAAGAAATTGGCAAACAATATGACTTAAATGCTTTCATACGAAAGTTATTATTCACAAAATATGGAAGCTTATTAATGGGATTTTTTCTCGATAGCTAGAGCAGAAGTACACTTAGACTCAGTTTTCGGTCATTTGCATTTGCTAAAACTCAAACAATGTACTTTCATAAAGAAAAACTACTCTCAGCTATTCAGTATAACTCTCCATTTGTCATTTAATTGATATATTTAGCTTGTAAAGTATGATAATGAAGGACTTCAGAATGCTTTTAACTAAATACAGTTTAAACGATCTTTGTCTAGTTGAAAGCCATCTGTCACTACATTATTTACAAAATAATCACATATTTTTCGCAATTTCTTTTTATAGCTACTCATAAGTAGGTAAATTATTTATTGAACATTTTTTGTCCTCAAATAGTTTCAGTTATGTGGTTATTTTTCATAGTTTGAAGAGAACTGTTGTACAATTCGATACTAAATCAATCATGAATGAAATTTAGAAGGCAATCAATTAAGTTATTTTATTTTATTTCTAACTCTTTAACAGTATATGTATATGAATCTAATGATTGATTTGATGTTTGTTAAATAATGCATCAAAGTTTAAAATGAAAAATTTGAGATTCACTTTTGATGCAATGACTAAAAAAATCAATAGAAAGTAAGGATTTTGATTAATTCAATACTTCATTTAGAACTGTCTGCTTTGGTGTGTGCATGATGATTTATTATCTAAACTTGATCTATGATTATATGATAAATCACAACTTGTTCTAAGCTAGACCACTATTCGAAATCTGGTAGCACTCGATGACCGCTTCGTCTTAGCATGGGACTCATCATCAGTGCGCATCAATTACCCCATATGCGAGACGCGAACACAGGAATTTCGGTCTAACGCGCAAACGCTTAACCTCTAGATCAATGAACCGCCATACAACGGTGTTAATACCTAATTCTAACAAGCAACTTTCAGGGTCGTGGATACACACTGTTGATTAGTCTTTCATACTAGGATCAAATGGCCATCCAGTGCTCCCAGGTTTGTAATGATGATATACCATTGATCGGTTTATAATTCCAATGAAACTCAACAATTTCCACAATCTTATAATGGCTGTTACCTATATTCAACCTTGTTTTATTCAACAGTGACTACACTAAAACCTTTTACTTGATAAAGAAATAAGTTACATTAATATTTTAAAAATTTTCGAATAAAATAAAAAATTAAGTTATTAGAAAATATTACACGAAAAATCTTACTTATTTCACAATATTCACCAGTAAAATCATGTGTACAACTACAATTAAATGGTTTTGAATAAGATGAATTCAAATTTTTACATATTCCATTATTTAAACATGGTTGATGACGTCCACAATAATCCAAATCTGTTAATTTTTTTATTGAGTGAACGTTGAAAAAAAAAAAGTAGGATAATAGAATAAAAAATTTTATTTAAACTAATCAATAGTAATTCAACAATGAACACTAACTCCAAAAGGCACCTTAATTCAAATAAACAAGCGAAAATACTCTCATTTACTATCGAAGGTAGCGAGAAAGATTAAGATTCAGTATTAGGCTGGAGAAAGTGTGCGTGAAATAATACTGAGACTGAAGGACTAAAAGAATAGGACGAGTAAATTTAGGTGTCACTGAAACCGCTTTTTAAACATACAAAATAGCATATCATTAGTATACGACAGGGCATCGATTAGAAGTTGCTCCCAGAAAAATGTCTGGATAACGAATTGCACAGCATAATTAGTCTATTTTGAGGACCAGAAGTGATAATGAGAGAAGATTGTCAATAACCTACTTGGATTACAAATCAAGGATTGAAGGCTGAGTGTATAGATTTCGTAAACACTTTCTGCATATGAAGTAAAACTATATCACACTGATAAACTCATATGGTACTAAATACCCTTTTCTTCAAAATCACTGACGTAAATTTGCGTTACTTTGAATCAAATAGAGCAAAAACTTATGCCCGGCAACTTCATATATATTGTCTATAGCCGGTTGATACTTGATAAAGTACTCTGTAATATTAAGTCACTCATATGAATGGCGAAACTGAGAAATTTATCCAAAAAATTACCTAAACCAATTTAGTATTACTATATCAGTTATCTATACACATACGTACAGAGAGGGTGAGTCAGTGAGTGAGTGAGTGAGTGAGTGAGTAAGTGAGTGATTAGTTCAAGTGGCCCGTTCAGTCTTCGGGTCATTTATTTTTTTCTAAACATGTAGTTACTGATATACATTTCCTTGTCTTGAAATTACTTTCAAACTCTGCCTGCAGTCCTTTTGGGGTTACGGCCTGCCCCAAGCCCAGATAAACCAGAAAGAAAGTTAAGCATGAGGTTAACTACCCCACCCTGTAGAAAACCAAGTGGCTAAAAAAGACGCTAACGAGAAAAAATAATTTGCTGGTCGACGTTTACAATCATCTATACTCTACTGCAGCTGAAATCACTTTCATGAAATAATAATGATTACTGACAGTCTGTATTTATCTATATTGTTCACAAGTGTTTGGGAATTGAATTATTGAATAAATCAAGCAGCACCATCATGATAGATCATATTATTTTCATTTTGCAAAAAAGTAAGAAATGATTTGATATTGGTGAGCTAATCAGAATTAGCCGAATAATAAGGTCATTCGATGATCATCAGAAATGTAATAAAGGACGACTGCATATGATTGGTCAAGAAATGGCTTCCTTGAGTATCTACACCTGATTCGATAGCCAAATAAACTTTCTCTTGTGTTTTTAACTCTTCGCTTAACTAGCCAGTTTGGAGGGGGTAGCACATATCACGATCTGACCCAGGACACCCGAACATTATAAACAATTCACTCTTTAGTTGATATACCCTGAGTTACATACAGTCTCTGATCAAAACATAAATGTTGTGCAAACAAAACTAATCGTAAATATTCACAGATGCATACAGATGATAGTTAATCACTGTATAAAATCTTTCTCTGTGTATTTTTTGCAATATTCACTTATTAAATGTTTACAAAATAAACCTTATCATTATTATTATTATTATCTAATATTACCTTACCTTGATCACAAAAAGGTCCACCCCAATTAGGTAGACAACGGCATGTAAACGGTGCATCATGACATGTACCATATTTACATCCTGGATATTTAATACATTCATCACATAAAGGTCCTTGCCAACCAGTTGAACAACTTTGAAAGAAATTTTTTTTTAAATTAAATAAAACAAGAAAAACAAAAATTATTTAAATAATATTATCAATTGTCTTTAAAATAATTATTGACAATTGAACTGTTTTGATATTAGCTATTGAAACATTGAATTAACAGTGAATAAAAAGTTTTCTATGATAGCGAATATTACTTTATCTTTATGTGAGGAATCATCAAGTGTAGTACAGTTAGTATTGATGAAAGACAACAATATTACAACACAGCAAATTGTCACACCACTATTCAACTCTATGATAAAAAATGATTTCAAAATGTATGTAGAATTTAGTGAGTAAATGAACAAAATCCATGATCATTATTACTAACTATGATAAACTTGGATAGAGTAACATGATAACATGGAGTTTATCCTCATTCATTTTTAAAGTTTCAGCATGTCAGTCAAAAGATAAACAAAGCTAAGAGAAAATGCTGACCACCAAAATCATCATTCTACTCAAGTATTACAGATTATTTAACATGGGGAGATGTGATGATATGCAACTATTCCTACACTTTTAGTTCAATCTTAAAGATTGAAAATTAACGATGTGGAGAGACTTATGTTTTTACACATTTGAAGCCATCAATCAATCATTGTTAGACCACCATTAGAAACCTGGAAGCGCTGGACGGCCGTTTCGTCCTGGTATGGAACTCATCAGCAGTGCGCATCAACGACTCCTGCACCCCGCAGGATTCGAAACCGGGACCTTCGGTATCGTGCGCGAATGCCTAACCATCGGACCACTGGGCCGGCATCCAACGGTGTTAATGTCTAACTCTGATTGATCTACGGATTTTTCGCGACCTCACCCATTTGTCTTTGGTAGTTACTACCTACACAGGACAGGTTTGAACTCTATTTGTCACGTCTTCTCACTAGAAATCAGAGAATTGCCTCACGAAACTAGTCACTAGTGAGCACATTTTACGACGATATTTTCAGTTAGAGTTTTGGAGATTTGTGTTTTTACACATTTGTTAACTCACAATGAGCTGTGTTCAACTTACCATTTCATTTTGAATTCAATATAACAATGACTCTGTGTAAAATTGATTTTCTTTTCAGTAGGATATTTTTTGTTTGTTTTAAACTTTGATGTTATTTTTCGATAATATCTATACAAGTTTATACTTTTATTGCATCAACTCAGTGTCAAATTTATTATTATTCTGTTTATTTATCGCATATATGATAACTGTTCCTTGTGTGTGAGTGGATCCCATGTAAACTCTTTTCTGCCGTCTTTGCGTTCTGACTTGCCTCATCCGATGCACAGTTTTCAGTATCACAAAACTGAGAGAAATAAACATTTCATTGACATAACAAGGATAGACATAATAGGTAGCTGGGTCAATAAACCTCATGGGAAAAATATAAGGAAACATTAATTCTGATCTTCTTTCCAGTTCGTTGAATATTTCTCTATTAATTACGTTATCATCAATGATGACAATAAGTTTGGAAACCAGGTTGTTTATTTTAACTGTCTCATCGTTAAATGCTTCGCTAAAATTGTCCGTATTCATACTTTTTTTTCCTCGAACCTCAATTCATTAACAATCTTTTGAATAGCATGTATAATTGTTTAGAAAAGTCAGTGATTCTCATAGACATATGGAAATGATGGATATTCATGTAGTATTTACAGTCCTCATTGAAAGCTTTGATCCAAATTGAGGAGAAAAAACTTTTTAAGTAATTTTCTTTTTTAAGATTTTCGAAAAGTACATTTCTGACGTTCAACAACATTCATATCTACCTTTAGTTCTTTTGTAAAGGATAGTTTGGTTTTTGAGTTTATGTTGTACTTCTCTACAATATCATCAGCATAAACTTCAGGTAGAGAAATGAAGTATTGGAACTTTGTTCTGTTAACCTCAACCTTGGTTGATCTTTATTGACTTTTAACCTGTCGTTCTCTGCGCCGTTATTTTGACTGTATCCCCTCTTTGATCTGATTCTTGTTCTAAGCTAAGCTGTAGAGGACCTCTACTTTGTCCTATGTAGCCTATTTCACAATCTGAGCAATTTATTTTGTAGATGATATTCGGGTTTTCTTCCTGTGTAATTTTGTCTTTTGGTCTACATAGGATTGATTGAAGTGATTCTGTTGGTTTGTGTGCTACACCTACTCCAAATGGTTTCAGTAGTTGTGCTGTAATTTCCGATACGTCTTTTATATATGGTAGGATAATCCGTTTGTTGGTTCCTGTAGTTGGTTTCGCTTCTTTTGATAACTGCTCTTCGAGAAGATAGTCACTGGATTTTTTCCCCCGTTTTATCGTACTTCATGAGTGCTGAAATGTGTTTTCGCTCTTTTGAATAAAGTTTAGTATGCAGCTGATTATGCGATTTCTTGCGTTGTTGTTATCGTAGTTGAGAATTAGGTCTGTGTTGATTGACTTGCGATATACCTGAGTCTCTAGATTTCCTGTGTAGGTTCTGGTAATGTGGATAAATTTTTATACTTCACTTCTACCTTCAGTTTATGCCGAGGATGTTGCTCAGCTCAGAGAATGAAACTCCTTCATAAGGATCAATAAATATGTCAAAGCTTAGTTGAAGATAATCTTCCCCACAACTCAACTAATCTCTCTCGCGTATATATATATATATATATATATATATATATATATATATATATATATATATATACAACATCGACAGTTTCTAAAATCAATATAAAGTAGATCGATACTCTTCATAGATCACCTCTAAATGTATTTACAAATCTTACATGTATTCATGAAAGTAAGTATGCAGTAGTAGAACTGAAACAATGACATCTAGAAGAATTTCATAGAATTTATTCCCTGTAAGTGATGTTTAAGCCGAAAGAGAGTATGTATACAGTTTGAATTAAAAAAAACAATTTTTACTTTATTCACTAATCAATCACATTTATTGATTGTTTTATGCATCGTGTTTGTTTTAGTTAACCAGTAATCGGAAAACAAAAATAATTGAAAACAGTGTTTCATAATTTTCTGTTATTGTTATGATTAGTTTTCTTCTAAGTCGTGAAATTTTATTATGATTTCCAAATGAATTATTTTAATTAACTGAAATAAAAATTTTGTTTTAAAAATATTTCTCTAATTTTCTTATTTTATTTATAGACGTAGAATGTAAACAGAAAAAGAGACCATTCTCAAACTGGACAGACACATTTCAAGTATACATGTATGCACAGACACAGACATACACAGACCCACACTCTCCTATACACACATATACAAGTAAATGATAACACATTTCAAACTTCTTTGAATTTTTAAAATGAATTTAAACAAAACAATGGAAAATTGAATAGTTTTTTTTTCTTTTTTTGCTCTGATCAACACAATCAAATTTTGTCATGATTAAAGCAGTTACATGAAGGTGAATAAAAATGATAAGAAAAATAAAATAATCACAATTGTAAATGATAAAATAATCATTAAAAAAAAAAAAAACATCAACTCATTTGTTTGATTTTCTTTTGTAGATTATATTTTGGATGAGGGTGGTGGAGAAGGAAGATAATTTTACTTTGTGTGTTGTGTTTGTTGAATGATTTGTAGAAAATTTATGATTCATATAGAAAAATTAACACCGTTGGATGCCGGCCCAGTGGTCCGATGGTTAGGCGTTCTCGCACAATATCGAAGGTCCCGTGTTCGAATCCTGCGAGGTGCAGGAGTCGTGGGTGCGCACTGCTGATGAGTCCCATACCAGGACAAAATGGCCTCCCAGTGCTTCCAGATTTCTAATGGTGGTCTAACAATGATTGATTGATGATTTCAAATGTGTAGAAAGTTATGTTTATGACAAATGAATTCGATAGTATAATGCTTTGTGAAAACTGTTGAGTTTGATTAGGAATCATGAACTGTGTCAATGTTTGACGATCATAAAGAAACCTAAAACCATTATATGATAGTTGTTGGATACCGGTTGACTGATTAAGAAATTAACCGCTCACGCTCCAGATCGAAAATCCTGGGTACGATTCCTACTTACGGAGTCGTAGATGCACACTGTTGATGAGTCCAACACTGAGAGGAAACGGCTATCTAGTGCTTCTAGATTTATAATGCAAATCTAATATTGATAAGTTCATGATTTCAGTGGAACTGATTTGAATATGTAAATTATTGAAATGGAGAAGAACTGTCTACATTATGACTTAACTAATGAAAGTTAGTCAACATCAAAAAGGATTAGACATGCATCACAATAGCCACCAATCAATGATTAATTCTCTACCTACATGAACATCAATTAACAGTCAAACGCCATGACGTTTCTTCCATTATATTAGTACATACAAACAATTGAGGACACATATTCGATTGGAAAAATCTTGAAATTCGTAATAGAGGGAATACAGAGAACATCAGAGAATCTTTAGAATGTTAGCAATCAGGTCAATCCGCAATCAACAAACACACCGACATTGATTCAAGTTATAAATTACTCAGGCAAATCCTGCATAAACATAGGGATCAAGAAATAAATCAAAGAGGAGTCTGAAGTTTGTGCTGACGATATTATTGAGAAGAACATTGTTAACTCCATAATCAAACTATCCACTTCAACAAAACGAAACTGTACTATAATCATTCACGTGAATTGAAAATTTTCTTCACCCATCCCATTCATCAACTTTAATCTTAGAAAAAAAATAATAAACAACTTCATTAAAACAAAACTCAATCAACTTACTCACATTCTCCTGGTCTTGAACAAGTTCCATGAACTGGATGACAACCAATAGTACATATTGCTATGTATTAAACAATAATAATAATAAATAGTATAATAATATTGATCATATCATATCTTTGAAATAATTCAACAAATTATCTTACAGTCATATTAAATATTACGTTATATTGATTGGCGGTTGTTGTCTGTCTGCTTACATACCTACTAACTTATTTACTTGCGCCTATTTCCTCTTGTGGAGCATAAGCTGTCGATCAACAATCTCGGACCTACTCTGTCTTCCACTCTCTTTTCCACTTATATTCAATTACTGATCAATTATAGGGGTAATGTGTTCTTTGGATTTCCTCTTTTCTTTTGAGCTTGAGGATTACAAGTCAGGGTCTGCCACGCGATGTAGTGTTAGGTGCTTTCCTCAATGTGCATCCAAACCACCTCCACCGCTATTGTCTACTTTCTTCTTCAACAGGAACCTTGTTTGTTCTCTCACACACTAGGTTATCACTGATGCTGTCTGCTCAACGATTCTCTGTTCTTAATATATTCCCAATCTTGAATTTACAGTGTACTTTATTCATAGTCACCTTTTGGCTTATTCATGATTGTTATTTATTATTCGTGGTATGATTTGGCCTTAGTTTGCTTGTATATCAATCATATCTGTCTGGTTATTGACAATTTGGACTCAAGGTCAGTGATGATGAGAAGCTAATAGGATTCTGAAGCAATCATAATTTATCAGCTGATTCAAGGTTATTAGCACTAAGACTTTTTCTGATTGGTGTTTATTTCGTGTGAATTTAGTCAGCAGAGGAAAATCATAACAGGTTCTTTTCAAGAGAATTTTAGTTATTCTCCGATAATGTCAAAAATCGGGCGTAATTGATTGATTTACATAATCGTTCAGAGAGTGGTTAAGAACAAGTTGGTGATTTGTAGTTAGTGAGTTCAACAAAAAATCAAATAAATTGAAAAACCGGATGAAATAGACCAGTGCTTGCAGGAAATACAGATTGTATGCAAAGTGTGTAAGCATAGTCTTCAATCACTTACTGACATGTCCAACAATCCACACACAGATTGTTGACTGTCTTCTATCACTTTCTCTCCTAGTCTTCAGTATACTCTGATCATGCAATGCATTTTGATCTTCTGACATTCTTCTCTCTGGTAACAACTTCTGGTCGACGCTCTACTGCATATTACTTATAATCCATCTTTTGAGTAACATCCACACTCACTTTCTAAACTTATATTCAAAATTCCTTATGGGGAGAGCAAAAGAGGAAGGCCGAAGAACACATTACGCTGAGAATTAGAGACAGACATGAAAATAATAAATAGCAATCGGGAATAACTGGAAAGAAGAGCAGAGAACAGTACAGGTTGGAGATTGTTCTCTGGAAGCCCATGTGTAGTAGCAGGTGTAAGTAAATAAACTTTGGGGAGTTTCATTGTGTTGAATGTTACTCATAAGGTTACATATAAGTAGCATACAGCAAAGCATCACCAAGAAGTCACTAACAGAGAGAGGACTGTCAGAAGATCAAAATCCATGGCATATTCCAGGTATATCGATGACCAGAAATCAATCAATACGACATTAAGTAATAATAGCATTCAATTACCTTTATTACATTCAATACCACTCCAACCAGGTTCACATATTTTATTACCATTGAGATCACATTTAAATGTAGTTATATTATTATTGATTTGACATAATTTTGTACAATCATTCCCATAGTGATTTTGTTCACATATTAATTGTAAACCAAATGTATAACCAGAATATTGTGTAGTGATAGTGACTTGATGCCAATTGGTTGACAAATTAATTGGTTTGGTAGACGAGGAGCTAGTGGTGGAGGAGGAGGAATTGATTAATGGACGTAGTAAACCACGATGTATAGCACGATCAATTAAATACTTTTCATTTGAACTAATCAAATCATAGGCTTCTAAGATGACGGTGAATAAACGCTGAGGTGAACAAAAGACGAGAAAAAAATGAAAAGTTAATGAAGTGGTGCATTTATTTATTGATTTTTAAATATCAAGTAAAAGTTTGCTTGACTACTGAGGTTTGATAATACTTAGGAAAACCTTCAAGGAATCTTAACCAATGAGAATGCAACTGATATAAATAATTTTTGAAATCATAAACTGATCAGTGTGAGGCCATCATTAAAAACCTGGAAGCTCTAGTCCTAGTATTCAACTCATCAGCAATGCATATACAAGATCGCGCACACGGGAATCAAACTTAGGACCTTCAATCTCTCGTGTGAACGCCTAAACTGTTGATTGCTGGGCAGCATTCAACTGCCTTGATATCCAAATTTAGTGAATTCACGATAATGTACGACTATCATCTATTATCTTCGGTAGGTAACTGCCTCAAACCCGACACAGTTGAACTCCACTGATCACAGATTCTCACCAGAGCTATTCTTCATTTTTGTGATATTTCTTACTTTTAAATTTTTCAGTAAGTAAACCGTTGGTAAGTATTATTTATCTACATTTTCTTATTAAGCTAAAAGTTACCCTTCATTGGATTTTGAATCTGATGGCTGTTATCTTAAATCTGATTGGTTCATCAATATACCATACTTTTAGTGAACAACAACGTGGTATGTAAAGCTGCATGCTTATTGTGTACTAACTTAATTAGGCCTACTATTTCCTCTTAGGATGCCAATAAGCAGTCCCGAACTAAGTCTGTCTTGGTCTCTCATTTCCAGTCGTTCCTGTGTGTTACTCATTCTTTTGATATCTGCATGCGATTCTTGATGCAATCTTTTGAACATAATGTATATGTAATTTGGAAATAATTTCTGTCAAAAAATTAAATAGACTGAATAAACCTTAAAATCCAAATTAAACTGAAAAGATTTTTAATTTCAAACTTAATCAAAACAGTAATATTTCAAGCACATATGTGTACATTCAAATTTATCAAAGTAATGATATCGAAAAGTATTTTTCTGTTTGCAACTCAACAATTGAAATTAAATTTGGTTACAGTGAGACTTAAAGTCGGTAAGTACTGTATATAGTGTGACTGTTAGTGTATACTGATGAAAAAAACCTAAAAGAAGACGAAATACCTATCCAACTCTTCATTTATTTTCAGACATTATGCAGAAAACAAGTGGAAAATTGCAGTTGAATAAGTTTAACTACTTATTAGTAGGTAAATTCGTGTCAAAAAACATTTGGCCATTCATCAACTATTTACCGTATTCAAACAGCTGCCTTTAAATTTCGCGGCGAGCCTTTATCTATCACAACATAGAGTTAACATTCAATAGTTTTTCGTCGAATCATCATTCATTTATCAACGTCTAATCACTTAATTAACTGTACAGTTGGTTGAAATATTTTGTATTTTAACCTTTGAGGTCAAAATTAATTCATTGACATGATGTGAAATTCTGTTTTTAATTAACTGTCTCTTTGTTTTATACCTAAAATCGAAAAAAAACTCATTAATTTTGTTTTTACCTCAATGCTTGTTACTATGGCAGTGGAGACGATTAAAACAAAAGAAAATTCAAATCACTGAATAAATAATTTTCCACCCTAATAAACATCTTTAAAACAATAACTCAAATCTATATCACGTTGAACAAAATAGGAACATAGTTTGCCTGTCATAATATTCCATTTATAATAATCAATGGACCGTTAAAATGAAAAAAAAATTTATTTAGTGTTTTATTTCTTTGATAATTTTAAAAATTCATTTGATTCAATTGTACAATTGCAAGAAAACAAAATTCAATGTCCAATTAAATTAATTTTGATTTGAGCAAAAAAATAATATGAATGTAAAAAAAAAATAATCATTCAATTTTAATTATTATTGAGTAATTCGCATATTTTTCTTTAGTTTCATAAATACAAATCAATCTAGATATACACACATACAGAGAGAGAAAAGATATTATCCGACTATTTTTCTTTGTCCAAAATATTCTTCATTTTTCCAAAAATATTTTCAAATTCAAATTTTAAATATCCCAGGAAAAGCTTAGTTTAAACAAAGAGGTTGAAAATTGAAGGGAATTTATCAAATTTTTTTTGAAAATAACACTATATCTGTAGCCAAGATAATTAAAACACGTCAAAATTAAACAGGAAGTTAATGTGTTCATGTTTTTATTTTTAAGAAAAAAAATTGATATTCACTAGTATGATTATAATTATTATTATAAAATCAATCTTAAAATAATTTTATTTAAAATTTGAAGATTATAGAGTAAAACACTTGGAATATTTGGTGCGTACAGATGTACTGATTAGTTAATTATTCAATGAAAGTAATCGATTTCATTAAAATGACTAAAACTTGGAAACACTAGACAGCTATTTCTTCGTAGTTTGTGGATGATCCTAAATGGCAGTGAGCATCAACGACCCACATGAGGGAGTCAAAGTGAAGGTCTTCGGTTATGTGAACGAAGGTTTAACGTGTTTCTTGACTTAAACGACCAAATGTAAAACATGATGGCACATTACAATACATTTTGCCTGAATATTGAATGAAATAGAAATTCTAATTAATTTTCAGAATTTCACTTGTAACCGGTTATCTATTGATTACTATCTAACTTAATTTATCAATCAAAATTCTCCTTCGTCGGGTTAATTCGGTGTTTTAATTTTTACTCATCAAAAGAAATAACCATAAAGCATAACAATGTTACATGAAATTAGTCTCAATTAGAAAAAACTCCATTCATAAAATCACCAGCGAATACAATTTTGAGCGAATTGAATTCGATCATATTATTTAAAAAATAACACTGATTCCATGACGATTCTTTCTAAATTTCAGTAAAGTGGGGTTTAAGTGCTTCCATTCACCCAAGAGGAAGTACACTAATCACCAGAATAGTTAACCTTCTCATAAAAAGTCGGCACAATCAATCAGTCACTGACTTATTGTATATGAGAATTAAATTATATGCATGAGTCGAGAACCAGATGGAGGGACACATAGATTAGTTACACAGTATTATGTACACAATCTTCAATTAGTTTATCAATCCAAATAGATGATAGGTTTTATTCTATTATCTCTCTTCTAGTCTTCATATTTCTTGAATACAACATACTTTTGACTTTCTAAAATTTATATCTCCGATTAGTCACTTCAGAAACTTTAAGCTGAGCCATCGCTGCATACTGTTAATAAATAACCTTGTGAACCACAAATGAAAATCAAATTTTTCCAATGGTGTGTGAAATATATTCACATGATATAAAAGATAATAGATTCTTAATTATATAATATGGTAAATGTATGATCACCATGTTGTGAATACTACTCGTAACGTGGCTCATAAGTAGTATGCAGTGGAGTGTCGCCCAAGAGTTACTAATTAAGAAAATAGTGTCAGGTCTGAAAGTATGACATCATCAAAGTTCTTTTAGAGGATCAGAATATATGTGAAAGAAGTCAGCCAATAATTCGCTTATTTTGAGAACAGAACTCTGAAGATAATGTGTGAATATTTTGTCAGTCAACTATTGCTTTTCCGTCTGGCAGAATATTCTTTTGATTCATTTTGTACTTCACCTCCATCTCTTGTGTCTAAGTTGTCGTGTAGATTCAGTCTGTCGGTTATGAGGAGCAGCTAAGAAATCCAATCAAGAGTTTATTGAACAGGATTACCAGTTACTACTATCTACACTACTACTAATACAATTACTAAGCACATACGATTAGTGGAAGTAAACAGTTAATTAGACAGAGTTTTGAAACTGGAAAATTTATGAAAATCTATGCTAAACTAACCTTGTACTTAATTTTTCAATTGTTCTATGTATTGAAACAATATGTATCTGTTTCTTTACAAATCGATCACGTTGCAATGTAATGACTAGTATAAGTAACTGATTATAACATGAACTATAATAAAGATGTTTTGTTGTTTTGTACCGATAGCGGATGACCTTCAACGGCCATCCATCAGCCAATCAAAAAACGATTTCTAGTTACAGTAGATATGATCTGATGAATAATCAATCCGTACATGTTAAATCATTCTTTGTAGTGTACCAAAGGAAG